TTACTTGTGTAATGTTGCGTTCTTAAAAAGTACTCTAAAACATATAAATAAGTTACCCGGGCAATTGATTTGCATTAACCAATCAGACGAATTTCTGCCTATGACTGGCAGATCCTTTCAAGGATCGGTGAGGATTTAGAACCTGGATCGAATTATTTAACAATACATAATTAAATGGATTGGATGAACTTATTCGGAGGGATCCAATTCAGAATCTAAATCCTATAGAATGTATTGTGATTTAAGGATTCGAGTCCAGGACGGTCCTAGAAGATCCTAGGACCGGATCCCTACTTTCTAGACAAAATTAGATTTGCATATGTAGCATTATTTCGAATTTTCATTCTTATTCGATAATGTTTAATGGACCTACAATCGCTTTACTAAAAATTTTTACATCATATAATTAAACTTGACCTTTAAAACGTTCTAACTCCTGTTCTAGCAAAGCGAATTGAATTCTGAAACATGTAAATGGTATCTCTATAGCTTAACATATAAATAAAAAATGTCTTTAAAACTATACTATCGATACGTATATCATTTACAAGTTACAGAACTTTATTAGAACGAAATCAATTAGTGCTATGTTTGTAAATCATTTGGCGTGTAACACCCCACTCGGATAGCCATTTTTGTTCGTACTTACGTATTATCTGTTATACGTACGTAATTGTATTGCGTGCTAAGAATGAAGCTAAATTGATTCTACGTATATCGGATTTAAACCTATTTTTTTAAACTTATGTTTATTGTTTATTGTAATATGAAATATATATGTACAAATAAGAAAACACGTACGATATGATGATGACATTTTTACAAAAATATTCAGTAGCGATCATAAGATTTTCCAGGGTCCTTACATCAAAAACTCTCATGATCTTTTCTAAAGACAAAATTATATTATATACTGTATTAATAAAAATATTCTTTTATTTTTATTTTTTAAAGAAACATATTGATATTATCGCAAACTAATTGTTAGCAATCAAATCCATGGGTGATTTAAATCAATACAAAATTTTGATCGCGGCTGAAGAGTCAGAGGTGTCATGCAAAGCGATTAAATACGCGTTCGATTTATGTTCAAGATTAAATACGCCTTATAGTTTGGAAATCGTCTATATCATTGCATTGAATCCGGAAACCAACGTCCCATTTTTGTGAGTTTTTGACGTGTTGCTGCACTCTTTTAAATATAATGTTCTAATATAAGAATAATTTGATAGACATAATTTGGACAAAGCCAACAACCTTGATATCCTTTTAGATGCAAATAAACCCATATCTATGGTTATGGAGCGTCTAAAGCAATACCAAAGCATTTATGTAAGCGATCTTTTTAAAGAGTAATTGATTTACTATGAATTATTACTAATCATTATTATTAATTTATTTAACGGGAAATATATAGCCGGATGTTCAATATAATTTTAACAAACTTGAGGGTCATGGAATAGTTGGGAAAATTTTAAAAGACTATATTGAAACACACAAGCCTGACTTAAATCTACTAATCGTCGGATCGAGAAATCTCGATGGATTGCAAAAGGTTAATTATTCTTCAGTGATGTTCAATTTCCAAAGTAGTCTTTTTTTCAATAATACTAATTATTCTTTTTATTTATTATAATGATTTAAGATCGTCTTGAGTTCTACTAGTGATTATTTGGTTAAACATTTGCGATATCCTGTTACAGTTGTCAAGTCATAATGTATTTCAATATCATTAATCATCTTATAATGGACATAACAAATAATTGCTATATATATTATTTTATATTATTATATATTATCATGCGAGGTCATAAAAACTACTACTAATAAGAATCATTCTCAATGATTGAATGATTGATAATATTTTGCAGTGCTTAAAGAACGTCACGATCATTAACTAAATTACCAACATGTTGGTATTTTGCAGCGAAATGACCGTGCCAATCATTAAGACTGTCAATTTCATCTCTAGTTAAGTCTTCAAGGGTATCTAACGGTTGATCAATAGGTGTAAGTACGTCCATATCAAATGAATTTTTTGCTAGACCACGGGAGGCATCACGACCCGCAAAATTTCCATATGGGCCATCTGTAAAATCGCAAATGAATTCATTATTCGTAACAATGAATTTTATTTAATTGCATTTGTAAAAAAAAAATAAAAAATAAAAAAAATAAAAAAAGTAAAAAAACTAAAAATAAAATAAAAGATATATAAATATATATGCATATATATACATCAGAGCCACCGGATTTTAGTACTAGCAATCCACATATCCAAATCTAACCAAAATTGTAGAATTAAAATAAAACAATTTCAGTCGAATTTGGTTATGTGGTTGTTACGATATCGCTAGTGCTATTCTTGCTATTGCTAAAATCTGGTGGCTCTGAAATGCACATACATATATATACATATACTATGCTTACCTGGTCCGTAAAAATTTCGACCCTTGGTAACATCATAAACGTTACCACGAATGCCAATATATATCTTTGTTTGTGGAGTTCTACCATCAAACTCTCGTAGCTGTTTTGGAGTATATTCCCGAAATACTGTAGTTTCTGCGTGCCTTGCAACTGGCAAATTATACGGCACTGGACTTAGATAAGAATAAATAACGTAAATTAGAAATCCTGATAAGAACCAGTTTAAAGGATTTTCTTGAAGCTGAGTTAAGAGTGTTTCTTGTAAAGACATGTTAACGTTTAATTGTGATCAGTAATTAGTAAGTTTAGTAATTCAAAGTCTAAGAGACAAACAATAAGGCAGTGGCTAAAAATTTCATCCGATCCTGCAATAAAGGTTTGGGCCGGTCTCTGCTAACCTATATTATAATTCACATGACTGAATATCATTCATAGTAAATCTTATACGACATTTAGCTCTATTTATTTGTTTCACGTTTAAATTAACCTTTTTTTACTTTTGGAAAGTGTAATTTCCTAAATTTCAAACTATTCTGTCGATTCGATTCGGATTTTAGTGTGGCTTATCTTACAATGGAATGATAAGATTTCAGCCTTACGGGAATGAACAGATTTGGATAGCTAATAAGCCGGTTTGTTTCGATCCTGCTTTCTATTGCTTTATGGCCTCCACACCGCCGCAAACACTTCTGCATCGCTTTCGTTATTGTTGTTTTTTGAAATAATCGTTTTTGACGGCTGTGCCTTAATTCTGGAACTATTCCATCGGTCTAAACTCTTCTAATTTCTTTATATCTAATCGATTTTCAAAAAAAATCACTTATTGAATTTATAAATCATTTTTAATTTTTATTTGTTAAAGTAACACAGCAGCTCAATCATTTAACATTTGTATCAAAAATGCAAAAAGAGCAACTAAGCAAATTAACTTGTCCATAAACGTTCTGAAGGATTTATCTTCATTTTCTGTGTTGTCGCTCTCTGTAAACTTATTTAAACCGATATCTTGAGTGTGTGGACTGTTATTCTTCTTCGCTGATTGTATGATATTGATAACTATTCCTTAAAGGATTAAAACAATGAGGTCGCACGGACTTGCATTCATTCCTGTGCGTCCTTTTTTATTATGGACCCTCGTCTTTTTATCTTTATTATTTATTTTCACGTATGCAAAATCAAAACTTGACTCTCAAGAACTTGTCCATTTTACTCCTCCTCACTTCTCAAGACTAGTGAGTGTTGTCGATGCTCTTCCTCCAAAACTTGACCTTAGTCCAATCAATTTGGTCCTTATTTCTACACTGGATGGCAACCTGCACGGTGTCGACCGGTATACTGGCCATGTATTATGGAGTCTAGAAGGTGCTGCCGATGGTTCTTTGATTAAAACATCAACGCGTCCTTCTACTAAACAACATAATGTATCTGACAATTGTGACAACGATAAGTTTGATTATGATCTATTTCCCTACAATGATAATGGTCAACCGATCGACGATTCTCAACTATCCAAGTTAAATGATGATCCTGAAGAAGATGATCCCGATCTGGAAATTACCTATATCGTTGAACCAAATAATGATGGTATTTTATACATGTTCTCTCCAAAGACCGGTCTTCAGGTAACTTCAATTCTTTTATCACAATGGTGATGTCATTCGTGGTTCATGTTATTAGGGTATATGCGGATTTACTTTTTCCTAAATTTATTCTGCTTATATTTGTTGGTAAATTGTCTAATGGGCACAATATTATTAGAAATTTCCTCAAACAGTTAAACAATTAGTTATGAATTCTCCATTTCGGTCTGTTGATGGTAAAGTATTCATCGTCGGCAGTAAATCTACAAAATTCTTTGCCATCGATCCTGCTACCGGCAAAATTCTCCAATCGTTCAACAGCGATGATGAATTAGAATGTCCATCTACTGGTTCACTTCCTCGAGATGCTTTGTATATGGGCATGAATGGTAAAAAATTTTTTTTTAAATAATAATAATAATAATATAGTACAATCATATAAATTTAATTAATATAATAATTCTATTTTATCAATTTTAAAAATTTATCCAGCGTATAAAATTTCAATTTTTAATGAGCGCGGTAAACCAAAATGGAACCTTACCTATACTGAATATGTCCCCCATAGTTTTGACGCCAGCATTGAAATGATACATAGTACTTCTCCTGATGGTTCTTACATTTCTTCTACTCATAATGGTGAAGTTCTTTCAACTGACTCTGCAAATGGTAAGCTTTTTATTTATAATTCATTTTAATGAAACAATCAGATAACCAATGTTGTATAATAAACTAATTAAATATGTATCATTTATTATTTATTATTATATACGATAAAAAAAAGGCGAACATAATTGGTATCAGCAATTTTCTTCTCCAGCTGTCGGATTTTTTGATGTATTGGCATCAAAAGAATTGTCAAGCGGTCTTCATATCGTGAGACAACCAAGACCTTCTATTGCTTATTATGATCGTCGAATGAAGCAAGAATCTTCACAATTATCTGCGTACATTGGAAATATTAACGGTACATTGTTTGTTATGTCAGTTGAAAACTATCCGTTGATCCAATATATACGGCCTGATAGTATTCCACCCGGACAAAATGAGGTTCCCGAGCATAAAGAACGTTGCCATCCTGGTTCATCAATATATCCAAAGTGTTTGGTTGGAAATCATTTGATCATCCCTTCTGAAGTACCTTTAATTGATCCTCCTCCAAAAGGCAACAATACCATTCCCGTGAATTCTTCCAAACCACAGATTACAGCGCAAGTCGGTATATCCTGGGCTATTATTATCACTGTCATTTTTGGGATCTTTTTTTGGAATGGAAGACGAGGAACTGGGTTAAGGTCTTCGTTAGACAATAGAAAACGTTTTGACTTTTTATTCAAAAACAAAGTGATGGATTTCTTTAAACAAAGTCCCCAGCGTGACTCACTTTCTACGAAGCCTGGTGGAAAAAAAGACCCTCCGAAGAAGAATAAGAAACGCGGAAAATCAGCGGCAGTAACAAAATCAACGGTAGCAACCAAAAAATCAGATGTAAAAGATGATGAAAAAATGAATAAATTACCTTCGGTGAAAGGTGTGCCTTCAAAAGAATTGTTACCAATAGTTAATTATAGTATTCCTCCTACGAGAATTCCTAATATGGATAATAGTGCTGTACCTGTGACCACGGATCATATTACCTCTACTGTTTCGACTGTTTCGACCACTGCTAATGGTGAAATAAAATTGAATTCTTTGGTGGTTACGGATACTATTTTAGGTATTTAAAAATATTTAAAACTAGTTTACGATTAATACGTTGCTAATACGATATTACTTTTTTTTTAATAAGGTTATGGAAGTCATGGAACTATTGTGTACAAAGGATCTTTTGAAGGTCGTGATGTTGCTATTAAAAGGCTTTTACTAGATTTTTATGAAATTGCATATCATGAAGTATCATTATTACAAGAAAGCGATGATCATCCAAATGTTATCCGTTATTATTGTAAAGAACAAAGTGATCGATTTTTATATATTGCTCTTGAACTTTGTCCCGCTTCATTACATGATTTGATAGAACGAGGTTCAACGTTTCAACATGCATATTTGTTAAAATCGTTACATCCTCCCTCCAAGATTCTTTACCAAATAGTTTCGGGTTTGCATCATCTGCATTCAATGAAAATAGTACATCGTGATATTAAACCACAAAATATATTAATAGCTCCATCTAAGAATAAAAAGGTTACAAGAGATGGTGTTACACAATCCGCAACTGTGAGAGTATTAATATCAGATTTTGGTTTATGTAAAAAGTTGGATGGTGAATCTAGTAGTTTTCATAATACAACAAACAATGCAGGAGGGACAATTGGTTGGAGAGCACCAGAGTTATTATCTCCACCGTCACCAGACGGAACAAATAATGGTACGGAAGAAGTTTGGACATCTGTAGATCGTCTAAATGATAATTCTTTCACGTCATCGTCATCAAGCTCAGATCATGATAGTGGTCAACCACGAAGAGTAACAAAGTCAATAGATATATTTTCAGCAGGCTGTTTATTTTATTATGTACTTACTGGTGGTGACCATCCATTTGGTGATAGATATTCAAGAGAGATAAATATTTTGAAAGGAGTTTATGAATTAAACAAGTTAGATGGAATGGGTGAAGAAGGTATTGAAGCTAAAGATTTAATTGAAAGGATGATCGAACGTGACCCTAAAAAAAGGTAATATGATCAATGGATTTGATTCACTGTAATATGATTACCAATGAAAACGCAATATTAATAATCGTTTATCGTTACTATAGACCAAAATCTGGAACAGTGATGATACATCCATATTTCTGGTCACCATCAAAAAGGCTTTCATTTTTACAAGATGCTTCAGATAGATTTGAGATAGAAGAAAGAGATCCACCATCACCACTTTTACAGCGATTAGAACAAGGAGTTGGAAAAGTTATAGGATCAGATTGGCATAAAAGAATCGATAAAGTATTTATAGAGAATTTAGGAAAATATCGAAAATATGATGGATCCAAGATTAGAGATTTATTGAGAGCTTTGAGAAATAAGGTACTTAATTCATTATTTTGTTTTTATTTTTTTTTTAGGGGACGAAAAATTGTAATATCATACTAATCTTTTTTTAAAATCTCGAAACAGAAACATCATTATCAAGATCTACCAGAACAAGTAAAGAGAGCATTAGGTCAAATACCTGATGGATTTTTATTTTACTTCACGTCAAGGTTTCCAAATTTGATGTTACATGTATATTATGTTATTGCAGAATTCGAAAATTTGAGAAATGAGAGTATATTCAGACATTATTTTGAGATACCTGGTGAAATGTGAAATGTATTATTAGAAACTCGAAAAGTATTTAAGACTCTGATGATGATATTTATTTAGTTGGATAAGAAAGGATCTATTGGTCTTTGAGGTCTAACTTTATAGTTTTGACATTTCATCATCATAATTATTATTGTATTTGGTATTTTAGATAATATTTGGGATTAGATTTTAGCGGACATTATGTGATTTGTCATTAAATTGACAGTTGGTTCTATGGTCTCAGGATTTATTATTTATTACTTAAAATTGGATGGGTTAAATTAGTCACCTATAATCCAATATTATTAATCAATAATGGGCATAGTTATCTGTTTCATCAGCCCGTAGCCAGCTTGAGGCTGCAAAGATGAAGATAATGGTCCGTATAAATCCTGATGGAATTTATACATGTAAGAACAATAGTAGGCAATAGTAGAATATAACTTCGTGATTAGGTAGTTCATCAAAAATTATAATAGGGTATTGGGAAAAGATTTATCATAGTAATATCATTAAAAAAAAAAAAAAAAAAAACAATTAAAGTAGGTTCGATTATGTGAAAAGGAAGGAAAAGGGATAATGGCAATGTCCCTACTAATATTTGGGATAGTGCGTTTGTCTTTTGGAATTCGGTAATTAACTATGTTATACAATGCAAAGCGTGCATAGATAGAACAGATTGTATTGATACTGGTTATTACAGGAGTCTTTTCCTTTTTTTACAAAAATAATATATAAAAAAAATAACATTTAAATCATGTATTTTTTATTTATACAAAAAAAAAAAATAATAATAAAATTTTAAGGTTTATTTATTGAGCATATGTGATTTAAAGACTTAAATTTCCGGGCATAATTTTAATTATTCGTTTATTTATAATCAAGCAGATTAGGCCTTATACAAGATTTCCCATTTGGTACGTATGTCTTATCAACGTATCCCGAATTAGATGACAACAATGCACACACGCATGACGTTGACAGAAAGGCAAAATATATAAATAAACCGACGAATATAAGAATACTCATTTGTTGAAACATCAACGTTCTTTATCGTTATAACTTAAACATTACAGCAAAGATCTTTTTTTATATATTACGCAATAAACTTAATAGAATGTAGAAGGTCGTTTAGCCAAAAAAGTGGACTTGTTTCCACGAACAACTCGATGAGGAAGAGGGAATTTAAGTTTCGGATCAATGAGTTGTCTGATATATGGACGTTTCACCTAAGACAAATGTGCACATATTAAATATTAATATAATTCAATCAAGCAAATTAAAAAAAAAAAAAAAAGCATTTATAAAATTATTACTTGAGCTGTTTTTAACTCCGCAACTCGTATAATTTGAATGGATGAAAATCTAGCACGGTGACGAGCGGCCATGTCTTGGTCTATTTAGATCACAACTGTAAATAAATTTGCACAAATCGTGACTTAGATGAGCTACATATACTCACAACAAGCGGTAACCGCGTCAGTTCTATTTATTTTACAAGAAAAAATGAAATCAAATTAATAAAATATAAATAGATTAAATCACTAGACACAACTTTACCTAGTCAATTCTCTATATTCTTTATACATGTTATGTGTACCGGAACGAGAATCATATCGAAGAAATATGCCGTAATTCTTGATTTGTAATGGCCTTTTCTCAAATACCTTTTTTAAAAATAACATGCATCTTTAGTAATCATAATTCGTAAAAAATTTGCCGCAAATCGAATCGATAATCGATTCTCATCAAGAACTAACTTTTCCAAAGCGATGCTTAATTAACATACCTCATTAATAGAAACGATTTCACCGGCGGCTTTTTTGACTTTTTTAACTTTTGTTAAAAAATACCAAAATCTACTTTTTGCTACAACTTCATTAGGTGCAAAAAGTTTCATACGATAAAGACTTGGTACTGGATCTTTTTCACTTGGTAGTTTGCGACCAATGACTTGATATTCGTGCAACTATAATCATATTAACATTATCAAAATATTAGAGCTGATATATTAAATTTCTCATAAAACATCTTCAGTCATTTCGTTCCTCGTATGGTTGAAAAAATGGGTAGAATACTTACTCTACCCATTTTGTGAAGAGGAGGAAGATCCCTATGACTTGCGATGTGATTTTTATTAAAAAAAAAAAAAAAAAAAAAAAATTTCGTCATCAATTCTTACATTGTCACGTGTATATAGATAATCAAAATTTTTCGAGACAAACTCGGTCAAATTAGCAGTAATGTTTGCTATTCGACCTGTCGTGGTTAATGCTACCACCCGAAGGTAATGTTTATTGAACCCAGAATAGCAAAATTTTGTCTTGCGAATTTTAATATAAAGAGTGTCTACTAGAGTTGAGATCCGATTTTAATATATTATGAACTTTATTTTAGTGTTGGGTGCCAAAGTCGTAATTATGCCACCTTAAAAGAAAGTAAGTTTAGTTTTTTTTTTTTCTTACATATAATTAAGTTTTCAATGCACACGCTAATATATTCTTTTAACAGTTCAATTACGTTTAAAGTCTGTCCGCAGTATTGCAAAGGTTATTCTTTATCATTGGAAATTAATGAAATTCTAAATAAAATTCTGAAAGTTACTGCATTTGATAGATCACGAAATCTATGAAGATGATTGCATCGACAAAGATGGCTCGGTAAATGATTACTTTTTTTTTTCAAAAATGAATTCGAATTTGATTGTAAAAGAAGTTTTATTGTATGTTTATTCGAAAAAATAACTCAAGTGCTCAAAAAGCAATGGAAGTTGCTAGAACGTTTGGTGCTACTCAAACTGGTATGCCATACGTACAAATTAATTTCATACTTGTGGTACCTCCCGTCATTAATACACCTTTTAGCCCTTTTTACAAATGCTGACACTAAACCAACCGAGGAGGGTACCACCCTAATTATTACCGTATCATCAGATCGTGGATTATGTGGCGGTATCCATTCAAGTGTATCAAAAGCTTCTCGTAAACATGTCGAGGACAAACCAAATGCACAAGTTGTGGTATTGGGAGATAAAGCAAAATCTCAACTTTCACGCACAAATCGTAATAATATACGGCTTTCGTTTAACCAAATTGGAAAGTCTACTCCAACTTACGCTGAAGCGTGTGCTGTTGCTGACACCATATTGAAAGAGAAAATTGAATTTGATCAGGCTATAGTTGTTTATAATTATTTTAGATCAGTGATTTCTTATGAAGCTGAAACGATCCCTGTATATGCAGTATCCACGTTTTCTAAATCAGGTATTTCTTTGTGTAGTAGCATAAACAGAATGATCGTTAACACTAACTTAATGACCCCATAATGTTTCCTAGGAAAATTTGATGCGTACGAAATTGAGGATGATGTATTAGAAAATCTTCAAGAGTTTGCGTTAGCAAATTCAATTTATTGGGGTCTTGCTGAAGGTCATGCGTCAGAAATGGCATCAAAACGTAGTGCAATGGAAAATGCTACAAAAAATGCTGGCGAAATGATTGATAAACTTACATTAACTTATAATCGTGGTAGACAGGCCGTTATTACCAGTGAATTGAGTAAGTATATTGTGTAGGCACATAGAAAGATGCGATTTAAATTTTTTCTGAATTACGAATATACTAATGTTATCTTTTTCATAGTCGACATTATTACTGGTGCTTCCGCAATTTAAGTGGTTTTTTTTGATCAGTTTGGAATTCACAATTTAATTTTAAATAATTGTGTTGAGTATTTTATTGTTAGCTTATCAATAAAAACCATTTTGAATCTGACCATTAAACTAATTTGCCTTCTTAGTAATATACCACTATTTTCTATAACATACGTAATATATTTATTATCCTAATATAAATCAATTTTTGTTTTCAAATCGACCTCGGGTATAGATTATCCCTTAAACTGTAAGCTAACGCTAATTTCAAGCAAATTTATTTGGAAATTACTATAAATATATTTATAATCTATTTTTTAAATAATATTTATTTTAGAGTACATTTATTTATCGCCCCTGTCGCTCTTACATGATCAACCAATCGAATCTCAAGATCAGGTGTAACGTTACACAGATGGGAAATTCAAAACAAAACGAACATTTGCCAAAATCGCCCATAACTCAAAATATCGCATATGAAACCACCTTCCGGGTTCTAATGAAAAAAATTCCTTGCAAATTTTACTATAGAACTTGGTCTTTGCCGTGACTCTAACCTTATCTATCCCTAACCCTAACCATATAAAAAAAACGTTGTTTTGATTTTACGTTACACCTGATCTTATGATCTTCATTAGGGCGACAATATCGCCCATGCGATGAATAAATTCTCTCTTTATTTTATATATTTGAAAATAAGAATTATATTATCTGTTAATATAAGTATTTAAAATAAGTTATTTAAATTTATTAATTTTATAATTAATTTATGACAATTTCTATTTGTACACGGGGTGTTTGTACACAGGTATGTAGAAAGCCAATCAGATTGCATGATCAGGTGTAACGTAAAATTATTGCATTCTTTAAAAAATCTTATAAAACTGCCTTTTGGATATTAATTAAAAAAATTTTTTTTGAAATTTTGGTATATTATTTTCTACCCTCATCTCAAATTTACTCTTACTCTAACCTTAGGCAGTATTTAGCTTTTCATTCTATACAAATTGTTTTAACATAGATTTGCAAATTAATATTCATGTATAATATACATTATGTATGCTAAGAAATTTTCTTAATAGGCAAATTGTGAGGCACCTAAACAAATATTTTTTTTTATATGTAAATTTTACTATAAGTTCCAACTACACTTTTCAACGTTCTAACACTTAAAGTAGAATTGATCAAATTTGGACAAATTTTTCTCTTATCTATATAGACTATACAGATATACTCATCAACTTTACACTTGAATCTGATCATAGTATTATAATTTTAAAGATTGCAATTATTATTAATAAGCCAAAACCTCATAAACAACACAAATGTAAAATCTTTCTTTGAAAACAAAAGAATGATCATAGTGTAACGTGACGTGATTTTATATATAAATTACTATAGACAGAAATCTAAAAAATTTCTTAAGAAAAATAGTGATTCTTCAAAGAAAACTTTTTTTCATACTAAGTTAATCACCTTTGAGCTTTTAAGTAAAGTTGTAGAGCTCATCAAAGCGAATTTAACAGTGGTTAGATCATCCAAATCGGCTTGGTAGATGTCAAGATATCTTTGAAAAACCTTTTGTTGACTTTATAAATTTCTTTAATTGATGATTCTCTAGTGAACAGAAGAATGATCATAGTGTAACATGATGCGGTTTTATATATAAATTACTATAGACAGAAATCTGGAAAATTTCTTAAGTAAAATAGTGATTCTTCAAAGAAAACT